CTCTGAGCGCCTGTGGGTTGAATAATGGCTTGAGAGCGGGGGCTGAGGCGCAGATGATGCCAATGTTGACCTCGAGGATGGACCAGAGATTTACCAGGATAGACTCTCGGAAGGGATCGACGGCGGTGGTGTAGACAACGATAGTGTGCAATCGAATGATGGCAATGACAGTGGCAAATGCACCCACACAGAAAACTCCAATTAGGGCGTACACCTCCTTGCGTGGGCGGTTGATGGCGATCAATGTCTTGATGGGGAGAGCAAAGATGAGGATATCGGTCAGGATGTTGAAGGCGGAGGTGAAATAGAAAAAGGCGGTTGTACTTTTTGGGGTAGTAACGGTTAGCCGCGTTTTGATCAAAATGGGAGCACACTCAAATGTTCAAAAAGCTCACTTTATACACTTTCCTGGAGCCACACCGGTGAGATCCCACATCTTCTCGAGAGGTTGACACTGCGCGAGGGTGGTTGAAATAGAAATGATGAAGAACACCACATGGAAGCCTATCAGGCCGTAGCAAGCGTATCGGAGAGTTTCTGTCACAGCTGTGGAGTGGCGGAACTGTCAGCAATGTTGGAAGGAGGAGGGATTGGGAATGCCATGGCAACTTACCAAATCGAAGGTACATGGACAGAATGGAGAACTTGATGCAGTTGACACATGCATAGTAGGTACACTGGATGGCCAGCGTCACCTTGATCAGGATGAGCATATTGTCAAGGGTCAATGTGGTAATTGCGTGCCCGACGCCATTGTACTTCATGATGATGATTTCGACAAGATATCCGCAGGAAAAGAACTGATAGCGAGACAGGTCAGCTTCCAGGTTCGACAAAACGGGCAGAGAAGCATTGTCAACAAACATACCAAAGCCCCCAACATAGTCCAGTCATCGGCGCCGAACTTCCTCATCATGACGGCACGCACAAAGGTGCGGGTGCCGACGACGAGGATGGACAGGGACGTGAAGACCACGGTGATGATGACCAACTCGTCCTGGCGACGTTGGTCGATCCAATATGCCTCTTCGTCTTGGTCCATGGCGATGTCTTGTCCCTTCTTCGAGAAACACAAGCTGAAGAGAGAGCCCACCGGCCCGCATCCTCGGGATCATGGTCCCTTTGAACCTGTGAAGCAGCAAGCATGCTGGGTACCGTGGACGGTGGGACCGGCTTTGGTGGGAACTTCTTGCCGGGGGAGGGCAGCGGGTAATGTCAGCAGATTTCCTCGCTTATCTGATCGGGGCTCGGACGCACAGACACTCCCAGCACAAGCACCTAACCAATTCAGGGCACATTTGCGGGGTTGCATCCGGCGAGACGGGCCCTAACAGGACGCCACATAAAGAAGCGCAGCTCTCGTTAGCGCTCGGGCCTGCTCGAGCATGTCCGAGCAACAATCAACCTCGTTCGTCGCTTCAACCCAACGGCAGCACCAGCACAACCAGCACCAACCAGCACCAACCAGCCATGCCAGCTCAACAAGCCACTGCGTAGCAAGACAACGTAACCGAGCATCGCTTCCACCGACATCTAGCTTTTCGCCTCCGCGCCTGAAATCCGGGTCGCTTCGACAAAACTTTTATTGTCGCCGGCTAAAAAGAGGTCAGGCAATTTCCTTGCCGCTTCCTATTTCCGTCTCCTGCACCAGGTGTTTCTGCTCTGCTTCATGCTCTGCTTCATGCTCAGCTTCATGTTCTCATTTCAGCAGAACCCACACAAAGGGCCGCCCGTGCTGCCGCAGCCCTAGATTCCATGGCGGTGTGGCATGACGCTTGACTGCCGCCCATCAGTAGTAGGTACCTTACCTACTTCGTAGCCAACGGCCGTGCGTCAGCAAGCAATTCTCGGGTGCACCGGCTTTTGAAAGGTCCACAGCCCCCCCACCATTGTCGACGGCGTCGTTCTCCCAGCTCGCCCAGCTCCGGCAGCGAGGATGAAGCCTGCCCTAGGTGGCGATCCCTTCTTGGTGAGTTCATCTGGTCCGCAGCCCAAAGGTTCGTCCCTGCTCGAGCTTTGGGTCGAGCAGTTGCATAATAACACAAAATTGTTCTCGACAGATATTTTGATTGGAATTGGACCAGGCTCGTGTTGATGCCAGAAGTTCCTCTGGGCCGGGTCCAGTGCCGCTCGGACACTGAAAACTCGTGATATTCCAGCCCGAGGTCGGCCAACATGCAGCGGTCTTCCCCGTGGTCTACCACGGGTATCAGCAAAGACACACCCACCATCACCCAATGAACTGGTTGTCGCTTGATGAGTGTCAACGCACAATCTCTGTCGTCTCTCCCAGCCCTGGCCGGCTGTCTTCTCCGCTTTGTTTCGTATTTAGCGAGGCTGGTGGAGCCCGTCTCCATCCCCCAGACTCCAGGCCGTGGTGGTTCCTACCCCACCTGTGATGACTGCAGGTTGAAGAAGGTGAGGAAAGGGGTTCAGAACTTATATCCTGCCAACCACACAGATGTGTGTTTGCAGAACCAGACGGGACAGGACCCTTGTTGGAGGTTCCATGGTTGGGGAATCTGCAGCGGGTAAAGAAGTCCTTTTTTTCCCCGACGCTTTGACTGTGGTCCGTGCTACGGCACAAATATGCAGCATCTCTCCTCTCAGAGCAAATCTTTTCATCATCCTTGACGACAGGACCAACAAGAGTTGGTGACCCTTGCTTTTGGCTCGTCTTTCAAAACACCCAGTTTGCCTTTTGACCTACCCATTGTCACCGTTATCTGGTCAAACACCAAATAACATGACACTTCACGGGATATGATCCTCCGACATGCACTTGGAACTGGTCTTGTTTCAATCCAGTCCGACTGGAAGTCTTGAGGACAACAAACAATATCCACAAAGGTTGACATTCAGCCCCGACTCATGATAAAGCTCTTACAGAGGCTAGAAAACAACCAAACTGTTGTCTGAAGGCACTGATGTCAGTGGATGAGTGTTGAGCGGAGATCTCCCGGACCAATGATACGGATGTCAGTGTCACATCGTTTTTTATCTGGTTCATTGGTCAATTGGGGTTGACTGCTGCCTCACGTGCTATTCCGTCTCTACCTTTTAAAGACACAAACCAAGTCATCGCCCAGGCAAGCCATAGACAAGGGAATAGCTACGCCTTATTTCTTGCTTTATTTGATATGCCCAAGCCCGACTTTCGTTGCAGATTAAGCAAGACGACGTGATGGACCGTGATAGCGATAAATATAGGGGGTTGTTTAGTCGCTCAGTTTCCACCTTCAAATTGTCTCGCCAAAGATCACGTCGGCGAAGATATTCTCGGGAGCCTCACCACCTTACCTATAAGTTTTGAAATGGGCATACGATCTGTCTGACGATCCATCAAGCACTACCAGTGCTAGTATCATCTCGGGAGGACAGTACTCCCAACGTTTCGCTTGTAGAAGGGCCTTGAAATTAAACTAAAGACACAAGTACCAAGACAGAAACTTATGATACACTGACTGTCTCACAAACACGTAGACAATTTTTACTAATCAAGGTGTGCCTCCTTGTAAGCAAAAACAACTCATACCCCATCACGACTCTTTCATCCTTCCTTCAAACCCAACTATGGTCAAATTCCAGCCTACCTTCCCGACCAGCGTATAAATAAGTACTTGCGACGGAACATAAGGAGTCCCAACCCAAGTCGCGTTCATACACGGCTCATCCGTCGTATACTCTCGGTTGATTTCATGTTCCTACGCAACAAGATGACTTCTCGCGCTTACAGGCGCTCTATCTTCCATCTCAACATCATCAGCCCGGTCGAGACTGACGGCAGGTTCAAGTTTGGCTCTTTTGTTGACATGAAAGTCTTTATTTTCAACGTCCCGATTATCGGGGCATTGGTGTTTTGCCGCTAAGTTCCAATTCCGTTGTCAACATCAACCCCCGACGGTTGCCACGGGCACCCAAGTTGTCACCAGGGCTGGCACTAAACCAAGTCTGACCAAACTAATTCAACGTAAGTCAACATACACCGACCTGAAAAGGCTGAGCCAATTCCTTCCAAGTCAATGGAATAGCCTTGGAGGTGCGGCTATCTTTAGCTCCAGTCATGGCTCTGACTACTTGTATACACTGTTCCAACACGCCCTCCAAACTTGATCGTGGGTGGTTGCATCATCTTATAATTCTTATTTATCGTCAAGTTCTCTGGGCTTAACTCCAATCACCCTGTGAACTAGTCTCTGTAGTTAGTAATCCAAACTTTCGGTGGCTGAAGCGTCTTTTTGTATTACCTTTGGGAATTTGGGTGGGGTTTGGTCGGGATTTGAGGCAGTGGAAAAATGTGTGTTATACTAAATTAAACTATTGTAAATCTCACACTATGTATAGCTGAAGTACTCTTGGAATCATTTTAACCTCTAGCTAACCCCACCCTTCAAAAATATACATTTGCTCATAAAGCACTTGATCAAGGAAAGATAGGTACCGAGAAGCATTTTATTTGAACAGCTTCAAGGCACCCAAGGCTCCTTGTAAGGCTTTATTAAAGTTCCACCACAATCACTTCTATCACCAACTTAAAGATCAGGCATCTAAATAGCCTCAAATAGCATTTTAAACCAGTGGGCTAATTCCTTTAGCAAAGGCTTTAGAAAGTGTCACGGTCTACCTGTGAAAAAGTCCCTGAAGTAGGTGTATATATTAGAAACTCTGACGAACAAGATTGCAGCTTCAAGTAGCAATGTTGTACAGTTTTTCAAAGAGCTCTTGCCTTATACTCAGCAAGAATATTAATTTGCTTTAGATAAATGCTGGTACTTTCTATAGCATCTCAACAATTGTAGGAGGTTAACGGTTTGCGGAAGACCCGGGAGCCAAGAGACGTACCTAGTAGCTTCCACGTTAATACATCCCATTTACGGAAAATGTGATTTTCATCGATGTGGGTGGTGCCGTGGCTCTGAACCTTGGGGTCGTCATGCTTGGAGGGGCTGGAACATGCATTTAAATCATTTTTGGGAACCACCTTTCAACAAAAGAAATCAGGCTCGGTAGTCTAATGGTATGACGCTCTGGTCCGTATCTCGCACGGGGTCTTCTAGACCTGTTCCAGTTGTCGATCGCAGAGAATTCGCGGGTTCGAATCCTGCCCGGGTCCTTCCCATTCTTTTTTCCTCGGCAGAGTTGCTCCCTGGCACGTTGAATCGTGGTCGACTTCACTCACCCTTTAGCTCCTGCCCGCTTTCTCTTGAAAGGTCCCAGCTCCGCTGTTTGCCCCACCTTACTACGATACCTAGGTAAGGTAATGCCTACATCAAAGAACGAACTCTATACCTCACTGTCTACACTGCCGGTAGTCATGTGGTTAAGCATCACGTCAGTTAGATTGATAGATGGCTGGAATTTCAAGATACTTGGTAGGGAGATCCTTGGTGTCGACAGCTGTTGGAGAGGCTTATGACTCGGGTTTCAAAAGATGAATAAGCTTAATTACAGGGGACGTCATTGAGATTGGAGAAGGCGCAGTGGAATTGGTATTACATTATTTCCATATCTTTTTCTCTTTGGCTTTGAAGTTGTAGCGATAAATGGATGTATTGGGTAAGCTTAGCCGTCGAGGACTAGATGTTCTGGACCAAAGCTATGGAAGAAGCTATCGGGGCATGGCTATTATCCGTACCTAGTCTACAAAATCTCTCCGTTGCCATTCGCTTGTTCCGACTGGAGCGTCCTTTGCCATGGGAGTGGTTCATTTGCAACCTTCACAGGCCCGACATCACCAGTTGTCTGTCTCCTCGTCTTCCATTCCTCAATGTCCTTGTTATCGACCCAATTGCCATGCAATCCCAACTTCAGCTTCAACGGCAGATGAATCACCGCAAGCGGACCTTGGCTCAAATTCTGCGCGTCAAAGATCAACACATCGTTTCTCAGCACATCCAAGTGGTTCAGCAGCGCGATCAGATATCCCTCGCCTTCTGAACCTCCTTCCTTTGGAATGAACGTTGGTTCCTGGAAGGTCATCGTTGGTCCGGGAAAATACACGTCGTCCAGGCCAGCTTTCTCTTTCTTTGTCTCCCCATTTGTTGGATGCGAGGATGTCGGATCGGTATGGTAATGGTCGGATCCCCAGGTAAAGTGACCTAGGCAATTGAACAGTCCTCCTGCTGGCGGGCCGCACTTTGCAAAGTCGTACGGTCTTGTTGGGTCGACGACGGCCTGCCAAAAGTGCCTATACGGTTTTGTTACGTACCGATCATCGATGCGTGAGAACTCTCCGTTGGTCAACCAAACCACTGCTGGCTTCACTCTCTCATCTGCAACCCAGACATCAGAGTCCCCAGCTTCCGGCGTGCGATTGGCGGATTTCTTGGCCCTGGGATCAAAGATCCATCGCGTGGTTGGTGAGCTGAGCTTGTTCCTCTTGGCAATGGTGTCCGCGGAGGGGGTGACATTCTTGTCCGGCGGGAAGAAAAAGAAGACGTTCCCGTCGGCTACCGTCAAGTCAAAGACTATTTCTCCCGACGCCAGTTCGTAAGCACCGGCGACATGACCATGGAACGCTGGGTCATGTTAGCAATTATCCCCCAAGCTGCAGACGATAAGCACATACCATTATCCCCTCTAAACCAGACAATCTCCCCTGGATCACCTGTCCCCCTCCTTGGAACGACGGCATACCACTGATCCTCTTCCGGGTCCCATGCAAACTTGTTCTTACCCTGCTTCAACCTCTCCAAGTTCATCTTGATCGGGGTCAAGGCCAGGACGAGGTAGTTCTCCGTCAAGCCCCCATCATGTATCATACCCGCAAACGGGGCTTTGTAAAAAGCCTCATGCGTCTTCTTCCCATCTTTATCAACCGTCCAAACGGCCACATCCACCCCGCAATCCGCGCCATCACCCCCACACTCATACGCAAATGAGACCATCTCCCCAGTGTCAGGATCAAACTTTGGGTGCGCGCAGAACGTCGGAGATAGGATCTGTCCTTCAAAGTCATACCGTCCCAAAGTTTCCAGTGTGTCGGGGTTCATGGCAAAAGGGGGCCCGTCTTCCTTCATCGCAAGAAGCATACCCCGCCAGAAGACGACGTTAGTGTTTGAGGCGGTCCGGATGACCCCCTTGACGGATTCATTATCCGTGTACGGGTTGCGGTATTTGCCAAACAGCGACCTCCTCGCGGCGGTTTCGTGCTTGTATCGATCCGTCTCGACGTACTTCTGCTGGAAATCGGCGTGGCCGTTGGCGATGCGGATGGCGGTCACGGAGCCGTCGCCGTTGAAGTGGATGTCATCTTGGTACAATGGGGGGAAACGGTGGTCGGGCTGGACGCGGTAGAAAGTGCCATTGATCTCGGGGGGGATGGTGCCGGTGACTTCGAGGTCGAAGACGGAGCCTTCGAATCGGGAGGGAGCGTTCATGGACCGGAAGGCGTCGGTCTTGGGGAAGGCGACTTTTTCCGGGGAGGTGAGTTCATTGTTGGTGTAGTTGGGGGAGGTATCGATGTGGGGTGCGAGGTGGAAGATGTGTGCCATGGTGAATTCCGTGAGACTTTTGTTCAGATTTTCGTTTGTTCTCCTCTTCTTGTCGTGATGAGTGGGAAGGCTTGGGGAGGGTGGATAAAAGTGTTCTTGTTCCAGATCCACCATACGTGGATCAGGGGTGGTCCGAACCCCGCAAACCAAACCATCGCCAAACAGACACACCCTCAAATCGTTCAAATTAAACCTCCGACGAGATCGGGTGTTTCCGAGATGCTGATGAGGGATCGTTCTTCCCGGGATGGGGTAGGTCACCGGGTAAGCTCTGTGCGGGGGAGCAAAAGGGGGGTAGCTTTACCCCAACTCGGCACTCGCCAGACGACTCGAAACAAAAAAGTACTATGACATGAAGCGCAATCCAAAGGGCTTTGATGGCGAGAAAAGGACGATGGCACAGTAAGAGAATAGGCACTTTTGTCAAGATAATGCACAAGTCAACAAGTCAATTCCATAGGTACCTAGCCAAAGTAAACACCCCCAAAACAGCCCCTGAAAGCTGCCCCGCCATGTCAACAAAGAATGCCCCACTTCAAAAGCAAACTACGCTGCCGCCTTGAACTGGACCAAATCGGGTAGCACCTTCTCCCCCACCTCGGGCTCCCTCACCTCCGCTCCCTCTCTCTTCTGGTCTGTCGGCAGATCCAGCACCAGTGCAGGATCACTTGTCTCGACCGGCTCCCCATACTTTGGTGCACGCAAGTCGTCTTCCTTGACCCTCTTTCCGGTCACCGGGTGGGGATAATGGAACGGGATAACCCTGGTATCCGGCCACAAACTCCTCTGCTCCACCAATTCGTCCGGACCGTCTGGGTTTTCGGGATATGTCTTGGTCGGAAAGGGAATGTAGTTCTTTTTAGTGTGGCTCCATCCCTTCTCGTGCTCGGCGTGCCAGAAAGGGAAATAGCGGTAGCGAAACAGCTTCCACACGCCATCCTCCTTGATGTACTCATTCTCGTAGAGACCACCTTCCCACCACTGTCGATGACCACCTGGGATGTAGTCCTCGATGGACTCGTGCGTGCCAGCTTGCATGAGCGCGCGCATGCGGCACCAGGCGTGTGTGCCGGTGCTGTCCACGTCGACAATCTCTTGCATCATGATGTGGTCCAGAAGCCAGCCTTCGACTGGACCGTTGCGGCCTTTTACGAAGGATTTCTGGAACCGGCCTTGGTAGAGGCGGGCGATGCCGGCTTTGCCACGGTATCGGCCGCCGAGAAACTCAACGTAGGCGTCGGGGTGGTTGGAGAACATATCAACTACCTTTGGGGGTGTCAGCAAGGTTGGAAAAGGAGATGACGCCGGGGGCTTACCTCGTTGTACAGGCATTTGTCGAGGTAATAGCCATATTTGAAGTGGATTTTGCGGACTTCGGCTTCATCTGGAAGCAGATATGGTTAGCGTGCTGCTCCAGTCAGGCCAGACGAAGGACTTGCCTGAAACGCGAGAAAGTTCTTTTTGCAAGGCCTGAACCTGCTTCTTGAGTTCCGCAAACTCTTGCTCCATGGTGTCTTGATTTCTCTATGATTGAGGGTGTATGCGAGATCGATCAACGATGGATAGGTAGGTAGGGACATGGTCGTCATTCGAGTTATGTATCCGCACTGAAGTTCGAAGGGTCCAATCGCAACAGGGGCGCATCTTGGTGAGGGGTGTCGGAGAACGGCAAGCAATGCACACGCTGACCCCAACCCCTTTGGCTTCGGTTGAATATCCGAAGCGTACTATTAACAGCGGGCCGGCCAGGGTGTTATCGGCAGATGCGAAAGATTGGGGTACCATGGTAGGGTGCGGGTCGTGTGTTATTTTGCGGGGTTGCTTTCTCGAGATCGGGGTAACCTAGGTATCTAGACACACCAAAGACCACAGGAATTGACCTTCTGGAGTTATTTCTCGCTTAATAAAGAAATGGGCCTCCTTCCACGTACTCTGGGGTTTTATCCCACCCGTCGCACCCGTCTTCATAAGCTGACTCAAGGTATAAATGGGAGAAGACTTCCAGGACCTGGCAAGGATGTCTATGAACATCCTCCTGCGATAGCTACTTGAATATGCCGTCCATGGCACTTCCACTTCAACTGTCATTCTCCCCTCCTTTCGGCCAGTGATACATCAGATCTGACTTCAGGTGCGCAAACGTTTTTGGCTCGAGCACAATCTGCTGTTTGTTGATTTCGACAACATCACACCTTTCCACCGCACACCTAAAGCTCTGTATTCGGGTTTGTATACCTTGGTAGTGCTTGTTGAGATCGCGAGGCCATAGTGTCCAGCCAACCATAACTGTTGAAACAGCCACTCCAACAGAAGACAAGGCGACCCATGTAGCAATCTTGGCTGGGAGAAACCATGCGGATGCACCGATAGTTGTGAGACTGTATACTGATGTTAGCTGATAGCCTTGGGAGAACAGTGAACTGGAATCAAAATCCTACCTCCCCACCGCCGCGACACCTGGGATGGCAAGCTGCTTCGGTGCATCCAGCTCACTCCTCACTTCCTGGACATAGGCGAGTATCTCTTCCATCATGAAGACGTCCCGAATAACCCTATCGACGCAAACCTTTAGTCCATTTAGATGTTGGCTTTGGTGTGTCCCGGGTGCTGCTGCAGCAAG